GCTAGGCGAGAACCAGGCATGTGATACAGCTGTTTTTACCCAATCTCTGGCTTCTGAAGCCATTTTTACCATTGGACCCAAATCTTTAGCCTGATATTTTGGATTTAAGCCCAGTGATATGTGAGGCACTGCTTCTGTGCTCATCATATACCAAGCTTCTTGGTCTAGAGTTAAGTTTACAATAGCTGCCACCCCTTGTTTTCCCGCATAAATGCTACCTGTTTTAATTGACCAGATTTTCCCTTGTAGTTGCTCTGCAAAGTGATCCTGAAAAACCTCGTCACCTTTTCTGTTATAACAGAGGGTTACATGCAAGGGGTCTGAGAGCGGCGTGTATGGCTCAAGAGTCCGGAACCACGGCTCCCACGCCAGGTACGCAGAGAAAACACCCATTCCCCCAGGGATCTCAGGTTCAATCAGCCCCCAGTAGATGTCAGCACTCATCTTGGACGGGTTGGATCACACATTGAGAGTGGGAAATGGTGACCTGGCCACAGTTCAAGGTGGTTCAATCCGGGAGCCTGACAATCAGTCCATCAGGTGCACAAAGAATGGACGCTCCAAGCTTTATGAGAAGATCTCTCCCAAGGAGATTCGCTGGTACATTTTTCGCAATCACAAAAGGATGGGCCAGTGTTTGTGTTCCCACTTTAGTGGTAAGGGGAACTGTTACAGGCAGTCTCTGTTTTACCCCAGAAAATCCAACAACGTCCACTGACCGCTGTGACATCTGGCACCCAGGTGGTGTGTGGTTGATTGACGGCTGTTGTTCCCACATTGGCTGGTGGGGAGGTGGGCCTGGGTACATGCAATCTCTCGCCCAGTGCCCCTGCTGACCACAGAGGAAACAAGCATCCCCCTGCCATCCCCAACGCGAGACGCCACGTCCCCAACCCCTCCGCGCCGCACTGCCACCCCTTCTCCCTCGTCCAGCTCCCCTGGCTGGATGTCCCCCTCTGGCCTGCGGACCAGATATTTCAGACCACTGTTGCACAGCAACTACCCCTAGTGTGGAGGTTTCGACACCCTCCTGAACCACCATTTGTTTTTTCTCTTTCACTTTTTCTCCTCATTTATTTTATGTCTGGCGTCATTCAATTTAAGCTTAACCAACTGATTTTTCATGTCCTGTAACTCATTTGCTTCCTTCTCTCTCTGTTTTTTAGCCTATTTAAGACGATGTACCACATGTCTCTCCCACCTCTCAGCATCAGCTGCAAGCAAGTCAGCGTTTTTTTTTTATTTTTTAGGTCATCTACAACGTCACTAGGCGAACCTTCAAGTACAGCCTTCCTAAAATACGGTTTTTGTTGTTCGGATTGTGCATGTCTACCAGTGATGTTCAACCAAGCATCCCGAATCTGAGGCTCCTCTCAGAGGTTGTTGGTTCTGTTCAGCCAGCTGCTGGCTCATGTCTCTCCTTCGTTCTGCGTCCATCCTTCGGCTCATCCCTCCTTCATCACCTGCCTCCTCTTCCACTTCTTTCCAGCCCTCATTCCCTTTGTGTACGGCTGGGTACACTCCAACAGGGGGCGCCGTTGGACAGGTCTTGAAGTCACATAGGGTGGAGGTTGTTTTCCTGTGTACTCCTCCTGATTCAACCCCTGCACACTCTGGCAAATGAGTGCCAGTTCTTCATAAGCTTTTTTGACTCTTGGATGGTTCTTTTGGTCCTTTTTAATTTGGCTGCGGTCCCAGAAAGACTTATATATCACATTACTCTGCTCCAAGAGCTCCATCTCTCATTCAGCATAAACCACTCTCATATGGCCCTGAAACTTTATTTTGTAATCCTTTCACTCCACGAGCTGCTGACTGCACGTTGATCGGAGCCCACACAAGCCTTGACCCAAAACAGTGTCAGCTTTTTTGTTGCACCGATCAAAACACTGATCAGCCACCTCCACCCGAGGTGTCTTTGCTCGTTTATTCACACACAAAGATGAGCCTCACTCGTTTCACACACACAGACAGATGGTTTTATTATTTATTTTTGCATTTTAATTGTTTAAATTTTTTCTTTCGCCTCGTGTGCGGGATTTTTTAATTATGAGTTTTTTATTAATCGCATCGTGTGCGGATTTTTAAATTATGAGTTATTTATTTTTATTTTTTATAGCGTGGTTTTCTCCTTTTATTAATTTATTCACGCATTTTCCACGGTCCCCGACTCGCGTTTTAATCCTAGTTTTATTTGCCAATTCCGTCCGTTTAAGGGGTCCCTCAATTCCCCAGCCCGACGTCAGCTGAGCTCACGTGACCCAGTCTACGTTTAACTACCGGCCCGTCGACCGATAGGAGGCGCGCTACTGCAGATACTACTAGGATTTTTTTCTTCCCTTATTTCTGTTTTTTGGCCTTCTTAGTCTTTTTTTTTCTCATCTCATCTTCACTTTTCTCTTTGACCTTAGTCTTCGCGCTCTCTCTTTCTTATTTGTACTCTCTTATCCTATATTCTACACACTTTAAGCTCCGTGCTCAATGCCTCTAGTTATTATATTAACATTAGCTTCTATTTCTCCTTTATTTCAGGAGACAGAACACACCATGCCCATCCAGAGGCTCAATTTGGTTTACGGCCGAATAGCGGAGTTTTTGGGCCTTTCGGCCAACTTAGGTAACCCGCTTACCTGTTTAATGTGAGGCGCCTCTCCTCTGGATGCGAACAGTCGCTCCGCTCGTCGGTCGAATCTCACCGCTCCTCGTGTGCTCGTGGATCATCACGTCGCGGTCACCATTTGAAGGGTTGGGGTGTTCAAAATGACCCGAGCACAGAATTTCAGGAGCACTTCACCTTAGTATTAAAGATTTAATTGAGACAAAGTTAAAGTATGCAGATATTACATGTAATCAGAATGCAGTCTGAGGAACAAGTCAGAGCAAACCTTGCCTGGTCATTCAGCCTCGTGTTTGTTCAACCAAACTTTGTGTCTGAGCGAGATTTATAGGTTTGTCATGTCCCGCCCTTTCGGGTTCGGACAGATTTGTGATTGGATGTCAAACCCTCTTGATGGTCCGAGTGACACCATGTTCAGCCACTCAGGAGCAGATCTTATCTCCACGGTAACCTCCGAAGGCCGCAGACGGCCTCGCTCATCCTTCTACTGACAAGGGTTGATTTACGAGCTTTGTTTTGGAACGCAGGACACTTACTCTGGCTTTCGTCTGTATAGAGTTTTAAAACACGTTTTCTGTGTGACTGAACTATTATTAATGTGAGAGCATAAATACTCAACCTATGTTCAGTATAAAGTATATGAATGTTGTGATTTAGCGTTATTTATGTTAATCAATGTGTGAGCAGTGTGTATCCTCAGCACTTGTGAGATTATATATAACATGAAGTAATCAGTGTATGATTATACTTAGCACTTGTAAGATTATATATAACATGGAGTAATTAGTGTATGATTATACACGCACACACCTTGTAGAAAATGTATCATTTCACATCATCAGAGAAATGTCAAGGCTTGTCAAAAGATATAAAAGATATCAAATCCAACAATTTTTTGCCTTTTTTTATCTGTAGAATGAGAGTTTTCAGGCCGTCATGACATGAACCATCATGATTTAACTTTGCATTATTAGATTGGAACCTGTGAGAAATAATTAATCTGCCATGGTACATTTGTATCGGAGTAAATACAAGATCATTTTTTGCTGTTTACTTGTGTTTCTGATTTTATAATGTTTATCTTCAATTTGAATTGTTTTTGTTATTGACATACATATGTAATGATCAATGCTATGAAATGTCACCTGAGGTGGAATGCTGAGGTGTTTCTTATTTTTATTTAACAAATTGCAGGGTCTGTTGGGGGTGATGACAGCTCTCATCTGGACTCGGGAGGAGAAGAGTAGACAGTTATATTTAAACATTTAAATTATTCATTAAAAGTTACATAAATATATAAACTTCCTTGAGATGTTGCCATCTACCAGTATTTTGTAAAACACCCACAAGGCTGCCATCCTCATATTTCAGTTTTTCCTTAAAACATGATGGTCATTCTGGTTAAAAAGTTCCATTTTAGTTTAGACCACAGAACGACTCATAAAATAAGTCTTAATTCATGTGCATCTTATGTTGCTTCCTCAGTAATCTCTTCTACTTTTGAGTGGCCTTTCAGCTCATGTTGGGGCATTGCACTGTGGATAACACCAGAGTCAGCAGACTCTTTCACTATTGTACTTTTATTTAAAAACCAAAACACATGTGTCTTTGGACCACAGAACCTCCTTCTTTAGCAGTATGATGTTACCTTGGCTGAGTTTTATTGATTCTCCCATCATGCCACACAAAGCAGCAGCTTGTAAGAAAACCAACCAAAGTGGTAAAAGTGGCTATAATTCAACATTACTGAGACTTTAGAAAGTTTACACTGACTGTTAAACTCATTTATTCTTATAAGTCCATGGTAGCTTATTTACACAAATATTGTCACATCACATTTTCTTCTGTTTTAAAATTATTTCACTTTCAAAATAGTTTTAATCATTCATTGCTACAGAATACATAAAGCTGTGAACAGCTGTCATAATTATAACTTTCTATAGGAGCAGTACAGAAACTGGTAGCAACAACATGTAACTGCAGAGGGAGATCATGTTATTAAAAAAAAGCTGCAGAAAGACAAAAGCAACCAAATCAATTAGAATGAACAGAAAGTTTGCTAGTTTTCCAAAAGTTTCCTGTTTGTAGTGTTTCATCGTTATTTTCAAACATCAGAAGAATAAAGTGAACATCTTAAAGTTTCATTTCCTTCAGAAACCAGCTAATGAGAACATGGAACATAAAAACGTAGATTTTTACGCACCGCTGCTGACCATGTTCAACTAGAGGTGAAAAAATGACTCGAAAGATAAAAGTTTAAAAACGTGATGAAACGCCACAAAATTAAAATAAGACTACGGTCGTTGTAAAGGGCAAGAAGAAATTAATTTATACACACTAATAAAATATATCAAACCACAACCAACAGGGATAAACTGCAAATATGTTATTATCTATTTACAATCAAGACAACAAGTGTATGCAAAGTAAAGACATGTACAGTTATGGGGAGTGATTGTGGGCGTCGGTTTGAACCTGTACCTTCAGTGCTCCCTCTGAGCCTTAAAGTAAAATGTAGCCAAAACACTAAGCAGACAGAGAGCAGCTCACTTGAATAAAGAGAACTTCTCCATGGACAGTGGCTCTCCTGAAGAAGCAAAATGTGCTTAAAGTGGTTCTCTTGGTCGATCTGTCCTTCTGTCCACTGTAGTTGCAGCAGTAGATAAAAGCATGTTGAAGTGGAGCAGTTAATAATGTGTTGATATTGAAGGGGGGGGGGGGGGGCGTAGAGGGAGCACTGAGAGATTCATTGGTGTCACATCAATATGTCCAGGTCGTCCCCGTGATCGTCCTCCTCCGTCACCCGGAGTGACAGCACCTCCTCGTTCAGAAACAGGCCGCTCAGGCGCTCCTTGCGAGCCTGCCGCTGCTCTTTTAGCTGCCGCTTGCGAAGGGCCTTCTGTTGGAGCTTCCGCTGCTTGGAACGTTTCTGAAAGGCAACAAGCGAGGAACAGAGGAAGTCCTACACAATCACAGAACTGGGACAAACTGGTCATGCATTTTATTTGGCACAAACAACTGGAGTAAATGTACCGTAGCTGTCGGTCTATAGAGTGCACCTGAATACAAGACAAAAATTAATTAATTAATCAATTAATTATTTTTTTTAGATTAATTAAATTAATTGATTAAATTAATTTAAATCAATTAAATTAATTTGTACATATATAAGCCGTGCCGGTGTATAAGCCACGTGTTCACGTTGTAGCATGAGTAGCAGCACACAGCTACTGAGAGATATACAGCTCTTGTTGTAGATCAAGAATCAACCACCAGGTGGCGTCTTACAGACTTTATCTTACTGGTCAACACACACAAAGTGAACCAGTGTTTCCTCAGTGGTTCCCAAACTTTGTTTAGATGTGTACCCCTTCAGACATTGGACATCTAGCCAAGTTACAACCCCCCCCCCCCCACACACACACACACTTACACCCTTTAATACGTGTTCGTAAACACTGCATATATCAAATAAAATCTTAAACAACTGTTAATTTTTTCGCACCAAATGGTATTTATTAGTGGTGTAACAGTGCACATAGGGTGTACTGAACCGTTTCAGTATGGCATATTCAGCTCGGTCCACGTGTGTACCGTTGCAGTTATTTTTTCACTCAGTATGCGCCACAGAACTAAAGTTCCTAAGCGTGTTTCAGCACGGTGCTATTTATTGTTGCATAGTCTTGCAGCACGCGCAGCATTGGCATTAGCTTCTCGTTGTGGTCTCCTGTTTGGGAACATTATGTTTTTCTTGTTAAAAGACAAGTGAACAAATCCAAAGCTGAGTGTGGACATTGTTTCACAGAGACTGGATCTGCAGCAGCAACACGTTGAACGTGTTAACACTCTTGAAACGACATCACCTGAACGTGAACGTCTCTTCCAGCAGCTTGGTGCAAACACAGACAGCAGCAGCATTTAAACAACCTTTATCAGGTCATTCAGGTCGGTCCAGATCAATAACACAAGCTGTAGGAGTTTTTAAAGCTCTGGATCTACGTTTCTGTTGTTGATGCGCCGGATTTAAAGTTATTGAGCCCCGCTATGACATCCATCACATCAACACTTCAGACTAAAAGTTGTAGCAGCTCTTTATAAAAAGATAAAACTGATATTGTCAACAAGCCCTGGAGCAGATTAAAGCCCTGTCCTGATGATGATGATGAGCGAGAGATTCAACCACCTCATAACAGAAATGATGGCTGTTCAAGAAGAGGTATGGTTATTTCATTATTATTGTCTAATTAACTTTAATTTAAAATAATCATTTTATTAACTCATTTTTTTAACCTCTGTGTTGTTTTCAGTCTGAGGATGTCAATGGGTTCCTCTTCGGGAAAATCATTCACCAGATCACCTCCAGCTGAGAAGTCCGATGACTGAACTCTTTTGTGAACTTTTCCAGGGACAGGAAGTAGTCAGAGTCAGAGTCAGAGTTTCTTTATTGTCATTCGCACCTCATGTGGTACATGTGGTGGAGCGAAATTATGTACACAGGGTCCCAGTTACATCCAACAATAAAATGTATAAGAAAAACAGTAATAACATCTAAGATATGAACTAAGAAAAACATCAACTAAATATACACTAAGCACTCATAACATAAAAACATTGAACATCAGCACAAACATGAACATGAGTCTGTGAGCAGATGTGCACGCATGAACACATCAACATTGAAAAAGATCAGCAGCAACATGAAACAGATCAGCAGCAACATGATATGGTTTTTCACAGTGATTATTCTAGTTAGAGATTCATGAGTCTAACAGCCTCAGGGTAGAAGCTGTTCCTCGGTCTAGTGGTTCTACACTTAATGCTCCTTAACCTCCTTCCTGAGGGGAGTGGGGCAAAAAGTGTGTGTGCTGGGTGAGTGGGGTCCTTCATGATGCAGGTGGCCCTCTTCCTGCATCTGGAGGTGTAGATGTCTGTGATGGTGGGGAGGCTGAATCCGACAGACTTCTGTGCAGCCTTAACCACTCTCTGCAAAGCTTTTCTTTCTGCAGCTGTGCAGCCTCCATGCCATACGTTGATGCTGGAGCACAGGATGCTCTCCACTGCACACCTGTAGAAGGAGGTGAGGACTGAGCTTCCCAGACCAGCTCGCCTCAGCCGTCTGAGGAAGTAGAGTCTCTGATGAGCTTTCTTGATCAGGCTGGTGGTGTTGTTGCTCCAGTTGAGGTTGTCATTCATGTGTACACCCAAGTACTTGTAGCTGGAGACCACTTCCACCGCAGATCCTCTTATGTTCAGAGGGGTGTAGATGTTTTTGTTCCTTCTGAAGTCCACAATCATCTCCTTTGTCTTCTTCACATTGATGTGAAGGTTATTCTCTTTGCACCAGCTCTCCAGGTGTTCCACCTCTTGCCTGTAGCTGGACTCATCATTGTTTGTGATGCATCCCACCACCGCTGTATCATCTGCAAACTTTACAATGTGACAGCCTGGATGGGTAGCTGCACAATCATTCGTGAGCAGAGTAAACAGGAGGGGGCTCAACACACATCCCTGAGGAGAGCCAGTGCTGAGGGTTATGGTGGAGGAGGAGAGGTTGTGGATCCTCACTAACTGTGGTCTGTTTGTTAAAAAGTCTAGTACCCAGTTGTAGATGGAGGGGCTTAGTCCTAGTGTGGATAGTTTGTCCATCAGGGTTTGGGGGATCATGGTGTTGAAGGCAGATGTGAAGTCCACAAAGAGCATACGGACGTAAGAGTTTTTCTGCTCCAGGTGGTTGAGCGCAGTGTGGACCACAGAGGAGATTGCATCCTCTGTTGATCGGTTCTCATGGTATGCATACTGATGAGGGTCCTCGTTGATGTTTGTTTTGATGTGAGTCATGACCAGTTTTTCGAAGCATTTAGCGACTATCGGGGTGAGGGCCACTGGCCGATAGTCATTCAGACCAGTCACTGTAGAGCTTTTTGGGACTGGGATGATGGTGGCAGTCTTCAGGCAGGTGGGAACTGTCTCCAGGGTAAGTGAGATGTTAAAGATGTCTGCCAGCACCTCACAGAGCTGATCAGCACATTCCTTCAACACTTTTCCAGGGATGTTGTCTGGGCCAGTTACCTTGTGCGGATTAATCCTCCTGAAAGTACTCCTTACTTCTGCTGAGGTCATGCTGAGATGCTCTTCATCCGGTGGTGAGGTGAGTCTGGTGCTGGGTGGTCTGTTTGGGTCATCAAAGCGTGTGTAAAACTAGTTTAGGGCATCAGGCAGAGATGGGTCTTTGGGGCATTGTTCGCTCCTTCCTTTATAATCTGTTATGCACTTAATGCCCCTCCACATGCTCCGAGGGTCTTGTGAGATGAATTGACCCTCGATCCTCTTTGCATATGTGGCCTTGGCCCTCTTAATACCAGCAACCAGCTCTTTTCTTGTCCT